TTTTGACTCTTAGAAATCTCAATTTCCAATGATAACCAAAAGTAAATACCAGCATTCCTTAGATTGATGTTTATGAACACATTTTAAATATACTCTTACTTTCAAGAAAACACACCTTCAACAAACTATAACATTATATAATAGTTTCAAATTTACCTTATAGACTTTTTGCAATAAAAAGCTAAAAGCAGGCAAACTTAATTAAGACTTGTCTAGCAATCAATGTTTCAGTATTTCATGTAATTTTAAAATATCTAGATGTTTAATAACTTTAATTATTTAACCCAGAAATATTTCAAGATTTTTTAATTTACCAAAGACTTTGGAAAACTATATATAGGCAAATATAATTATTACTAAAATGCTTTATCAAAAACCATTTTAGTTATACTTATTATCTTAACAACTTAATATTTTAAAGCCAATTATTATTCATTTTCCTGATAAACTTTGTAATAGGAATAACATAACCTTGACAACTTTTAGGAGGCTGGAGAAAAGATGGGGGGAGACATGGGGGGATTGGGGCAGAGTAGCAGGCCCCACAGCTTGTTCCCAGGACTGCACTCCCAGGCCTTCAGGTGCTTGGATTCAAAAGCATCATATTCTTTTCTTTATAAGGGGCGGTGCCCTCCTCCTTGGTGCTTCTGCAGCTTTCACAAGGACACTATCACAGTTCCTGCTCTCTAGGAGAATTTGGAGTGTTTAAAAGTATTTACTTTTATAAATTTTCTTTAATTATATTACCCAGGGGCTTAGAAAGACATGACTAAAAGTGAGATTCCAAAGGCTGCAGTTGAAGGGGTAGAGTGAAAGGGTATTGTTGAGGATGCCCACTCACCCCAGTGATCAAACAGGTTTTGGAAGAAAGAGGCCTTGGTGAGAGAGTCAGAGCAGAGAAAGCAACCCCCACATCTAATAAGATCTAATTAGCTTACCTGTAACATCAAGGGCCACCCTTGGCTCCTTCCCTTCAAAGGTAATGTTCTTAGTGGGGGTGACAAGATCATTGGACCCCATCAGCTCAAGGCCATTGTATGGGTAGGTTCTAGGCCATTGTATGGGTAGGTTCTGATCCTGGGGACCCTCCAGCCAGTCACCAAACTTGGGACAGAGGGGGCACGGCCCTGGAGGTGACACATGGCTTAAAACTGAGTCGTTTGTTTCTATGAAATGGCTTTCTTGCTCTTCCTCTGCCCTGTCTCAGGTATTAAAAGTACTGAAGGTGCCCAGCCGGCGTGGCTAAGTGGTTGAGCCACTGAACCAGGAGGTCTTGGTTTGATTCCCAGTCTAGGCCTGGGTTGTGGGCTCAGTCCCCATTGGGGAGCCTGCAGGAGGCAGCCCATCGATGATTCTCTCTCATCACTGGTGTTTCTAGCTTTCTCTCCCTCTCCCTTCCTCTCTGAAATCAATGTTTTTTTTTGTTTTTTGTTTTTCTAGAAAACATAATTTTATTTGTTTTTCTAGGTTGCTGATCTTTTCTTGTGCCCTTGAATGTTTTGCCTGGCGCAAACTAGGAGGTATTAAATTATCTAAGTGGAGCAGTTGGTAGCTGCATTTGTAAATATTTTGATTAGCTAGGACATAAAACTTTGTCTGGTTAAACCCAACTTCTAAATGTAATGTCTCAATTTTGAAAATAAGTCTAAGCTTAAATTATAACCATGCTGTGTATGCGGGCCATGGGCTTGCAGCCTCTACAATAGTGAGAAACTAATGTCTGTTATTTAAGCCACCCAGTCTGCTGTCCTCTGCCATAGCTGAACTGAGACAGGGCCCAGAACTCCTCTGGAGGGACAGAGAGAGCTCTCTAAGGAAGTAATGCTTAAGCTACACCATGAAGGATGAGTGGGGTCGGCTAGGAGAGAGCAGCCAGTGAGGGTCCTGAGGCCAGGAGCGTTTGAGGACCTAGGAAAGTCCTGGGAAGCAGGCCATAGGGGAAGAAGTGGCTGCAGTAAATGCAAGGAGGTGAGTGGGCCGGGTCCAAGTCTATATTCTTTTCAGGCCATGTCAAAGATTCCAATTTTTATCAAAAAGAAAAAAGGAAAAGGAAAAGGAAGCCTATCTGCACTACCCAGAGAGGGACTTGTATGTTGTTCTTGATTCCCATGTGACTTACTTAAAGGGAAACTTCCACAACGTCCGGAGCCCTTGATGTCCTCAAACGAAGGGGGGATGTCCTCAAATTCCTTGCAGCGGGGACCCACTTAGGTGGCACCAACCTTGACTTCCAAACGAAGCCGTATATCGACAAAGGAAGAGTGATGGCGTCTACAGCATAAATCTGAAGAGAACCTGGGAGAAGCTCCTGCTGGCAGCGGGTGCCATTGTTGCCATTGAACACCCCGCTGATGTCAGTGTCATATCCTCCAAGAGCACCCGCCAGCGAGCTGTGCTGAAGTCCGCTGCTGCCACTGGAGCCACTCCTACTGCCGGCCGCTGCACTCCTGGAACCTCCACCATCTGGATCCGGGCAGCCTTCCGGGAGCCGCGACTCCTGGTGGTGACTGATCCCAGGGCTGACCACCGGCCGCTCACAGGGGTGTCTTATTTAACCTGCCCACCATTGCTCTGTGTAATGCAGACTCTCCTCTGTGCTCTGTGGACACTGCCAGCACTTGCAACAACAAGGGGGCTCAGTGGGTCTGATGTGGTGGATGCTGGCCCAAGAAGTACTGTACTGCACATGCGTACCACCAGCCTCATGAACACCCGTGGGAGGTCACGCCTGATCTCAGCTTCTACAGAGACCTGAGGAGGCTGGAAAGCAAGAGCAGGCCACGCTGAAACGGCTGTGACCAAGGAGATATTTCAGGGTGAATGAGCTGCTCCATCTCCCGAGTGCCCTGCTGCTCAGCCTGAGGCCGAGACAGGTCTGAAGGCGTGCAGTGCCCTCTGTGCCCCGTCAGCACTTTCCTACTGAGGGTGCAGCGCTCAGCCTGCCCCTGGTCTGCAGCCCCCATTGCTCAGGCCACTGAATGGGCAGGAACAACTACGGAGTAGTCTTAAAATGTTCTCCCACAAACTCTTTTTTTTTTTTTATGGATGTTATTTTTTTTTTTATTATTATTAGTTAAGGTATTACAAATGTGTCCTCATCCCCCCCATTTTTAAAAAAAGTACTGAAAGTTATTTCTACCGGTTGCTCAGTGGGGGTCTGGAGTTCTAAGACTAGTTTCTGGTAACTTTCCTAATACCTGAGGCTGTAAGTTGGATAAAATGCATCACTAAAGTGCTTGGCCCTTAACAAAAATTATAAAGGGCTAGCTTAGACATAGAAAAGAGAACACGCATCCGAACAACTCCTTTAACAGGCTTTCTGATGAGTGTTTTGGGTTTCTTAGGCTATATTCCTAGAAGTGGGATCACTGGGTCAAATGGCAGTTCCTATTTAATTTTTTGAGGAAACTCTATACTGTTTTCTGTAGTGTCTGCACCAGTGGGCACTTCCAGAGACAGAGGAGAAATTGGAGAAGAGAAGTTAACTCTATCCCGGGGAGGGCCACCAAAATGTTAGGGTTTTTGGCCAGTGTGGGCTGTGAAAGAATTTATTTTACTTCCCCCAGAGGAAAGGACCAGTGCATTGCTAATCAATGCAAAGGTAAGGAACAAAAGCTGCGCTGCTGCCCCCCGCCCCGCCTTTTAAAGTGAGGGATTTTCGGGCTGCTGCTATTGCTAGGTGACATTGAGCAGAGCTTAGGGTGGTTATCTTTGTTAGTTCTTCAGGAGACAGTCCAACAGATGTCCTAGGGAGGTGTCTTACCAGTATTTTTCCCATGTCTGTAAAACATTTTTAGAGCAAAAATTATGAAGAGTTCAAAAGAGGCTTGTTTAAAGAGGGCATGGAAGGTGGAAGGAACTTTCTATTTATTATTCCTGGGTTGTAAACCAGACAGAGGAGGGGTATGTGTTATGCCCAGATTTCAAGATCCCCAATAGACCAACAGGGAGCCAGCCGAGTCCGATGCAAAAGCAGAGAGTCTTTATTATTATTACAGACCCGGGTCTGGCTCCCAGCCTCTACCGACGCAACAGCGAGACGAGAGTGCCAGCCCCGTGGGAAAAAGGGGTTTTAATAGGGGGGTGGAGTGAGGGGAGGAGAGATGACTGTGGGCCCTGCCGATTGGCCAGGTGCAAGTCGGGTCTTGTTACACACGATGTGGTCATATCTATGGCGCGCACGTCCCTTGATTGTCACTAGTTAGTTTAAAGAAATCCTGGGCATGGCTAGCAGGGGCTTGGGCTTCTGGGAAGAAGCCTTGCTGAGCACATGGCTGCTAGGGTAAGATGGAGGGCATAGCTCTCGCCCTTTCATATGTATGTAAGAATGAAGTCTTGAGAGTAGCATATCTTGTCCCTCAGTTTGAAGAGAGGGGCTATTTGAACCAGAGGAGCTAACAATCTTGGTGCTTCTCTTAAATTGTGGAAGGCAATAGCAAGGAAAACGAAAAGCTCTTTTTATCTCTTACAAGTAGTCCTAAAATTTCTTTATGGTGTTTTATGGGGGAGATTTTTTGCTGTCAAAAGTGCTTTGCTTTATGTGTCTTTTTTTCTTTCTGAGTTTTTTCCCATTTGCATTTCCCTTCTTGAATTTCCTTCTCCAATGTCATTTTTTTCCCTGAATGTCCCTTTTCCCAATGTCCTTTCTTTCTGCAATATGCATATCCCTTTTTTAATCCTTTCTCACCTTTTTCATTTCCTCAATCCTTTCTCGTTTTGGTTTTTACCTCTATACAATCCTTCTTCAATTTGCATGAACCCTCTGAAACTTAGTTTCTACAATGTACACAAACCTGTGATTTACAGACTTTCTTCAATGTACCTCTCTGCAACTTTCCTAGTCCCTCTTAGTTTGTTTCTTCTTGCCTCATTCAGAAATAACCAGCTTTAAAACAAACTACTTTTTTATTTTTATTTTTTATTTATTGATTTCAGAGAGGAAGGGAGAGGGAGAGAGAGATAAAAACATCAATGATGAGAGAGAATCACTGATTGGCTGCCTTCTGCTCTCTCCCCACTGGGAATCGAACCCACAACCCAAACATCTGCCCTTGACTGGAATCGAACCCAGGACCTTTTAATCCGCAAGCTGATGCTCTATCACTGAGCCAAACCGGCTATAGCTAAAAGAAACCACTTTCAATTCTATATTACCAATACCACATTCTTTTTCACCCAACTTAATTAGAATTCTTAATTCTTAGAAACCTTAATTTTTAGTGACAACTAAAAGCAATACATTTAATAACTTTCAGAAATCATTTTTTTAATTGGCAAATACACTCACGTTTTTAAGAGGCATAACAGAGATAACATGAATCATTCCTTTGGTGTCTTTGACCACTTTTAGGAGGCTGGAGAAGAGACAAGGGGAAATATCTGGCTTGGGTATTTCAGTGGCTTCGGTTTTAAAGTACCCTTTTCCCTTTCACATTGAGATGGGGAGAAAAAGTTGCCTCTGCTGCTTCCCCAGCCTGCACAGGGTTTGGGGGTGGTATTAATTCCCCATTGTTCTCAGGGCCGCAGCAGCTCCTGGACCTCCAGAAGGAGGATATATAATATTTTAAAAGACTCACTTTAACAAAATTTCCTTCAATTACCTTAGCCTTGTTTACAGTTTTAATTACCCAGAAGCTTATACTAGACAAGATGCCCCTCCCTAATAAGGGAATGAAGCATCCCGGTCTATAAGAAAGGCATAATTAAAAGTGAGATTCCCAAGGCTGCAGCCTAAGGGTAGAGTGAAGTGGGATTGCTGAGGATACTCGTCCGCTACTGTGTATGAGTTCCCCCATGTCCCGCGTGGTTCAGGGTTCAGGATCTGGAGGAAGGGCCACACACAAATGAAAGAGATGAGACAAGAGATAATTTGGAAATATTGGGGGGCCAGGCGGGCAAGCCCAACTCAAGGGGAAGGACTTCCACTGGTGCCCAGGCCTCGCCAACCTTTTATTCAACTTTGGATATACATAAAGCCCTTAGTCAGGCAGCTAATTGCAATAACAGACAGTCTATCTTAAAGGTCAGTAAATATTAGAAGGATATACCCTGAGACTATTTGATCAGGAAATAGCTTCAGCCCCCATTGTCAGGACTAGACAATCGGTGTATAACTCTGGCCCTTGCCATGGGTTCAAGGTTCACCAGCGTTCCCGGATCCTTGTTTGCACTTCTCTGCTAGTGAAGACAATGGGTGGCTTTCTGCACACCCCAGTGATCACACAGATTTGGGAAGAAAGAGGCCCCAGTGAGTGAGTCAGAGCAGAGCAAGCAGCCCCTGTATCTAATAGAAATGTAATGGACTTACCTGTCACATTAAGGGTCACCCAAGGCTCTGTCAATTCAATTTTGATGTTCTTAGGAGGAGCTAACTGGAACATAGGGCCCCTTCAGTTCGAAGCCATCGTGTGGGTAGGTTCTTGTCTGGAGATCCTCTAGCTCCCGGAACAGTCCATCTTTTAGCAGTCACACTAGCATGATTTTTGAGGAGGCCCCTTCGCAGGGCATTCCTTTTCCAGTGTCCTTCTTGTCCGCAGGGTGGTCTTTTTGCTCTTTCTTTGCCCTTAGTTGTTAAAAACATTGAAAGCTATTTCTACCAGTTACTCAGTGGGGGATCTGGGGTCCCAAGGCTAGTTTTTCTAACTTTTTCCTAATGTCTGGGGCTGCCTGCTGGATAAGACCCATCCTCAGATGCTTTGCCCTCAACATATTTGTGGTTGAGGTTTGTGTACTTTTGTAAAGCTTTTGTTAATCACTCCCGAAGAAGGGAAAGGTTTTCATTCTTTCTTAGAATAACCCTTTTTATGTTGTCATAATTAACAGGCTTAATAGTATATTTTTTATCTCTTCTATGAGATAAGTAACCATATGGGTCCAGCGGTCCCTTTCCTCTCATCCTTCATCTGTCCCAGTTTTATAGACCCAGTTAGTGTCCTGATCTGGAATTGCATCTCCCCTTGGTTGGTATGTGATGTTGAGCATGACAACCAGTTAATTCATCAGCATAGGCCCTTGCCACTCCTATTATGCGCTGCTTTTCATCTACAGTACAGCAGTGGGAGAGAGCAATTTGTAAATCATTCCAAGTTAAGTTGTAAATCAATGTCAAGTGATTACATCCCTCTATGAATTTGCTAGGGTCTTTGGAAAAGGAAGCATGTACTTGAACAACTCCTTCACCAATCTCCCTGTTTGCTACTTCCCTCAGAGATAACATGTTAGGGTTTGGGTGATAATAAGTTCTGCTCCTGGTACTGGCAGGACTGTAAGCAGGTGCCGACAATTCTGCTGTGGAGGGAGGATTAAACAGTGGCAGCTGTTCTTTGGAAGGGGTAGTGAGCTGAGAAGCAGGCTGTTCCACCTTTGGGATGGGTTTTGTTTGACACTCTAGAGCAGTCGTTGGCAAACTGCGGCTCGCAAGCCACATGTGGCTCTTTGGCCCCTTGAGTGTGGCTCTTCCACAAAATACCACGTGCGGGCACGCATGTACAGTGAGATTGAAACTTCGTGGCCCATGCGTAGAAGTCAGTTTTTGGCCTGGGCGAGTCTATTTTGAAGAAGTGGCATTAGAAGAAGTGAGGGTACGTTCGCTGAGGTCGACCCTTCAGATTGAGGACGTTTTTAGCAAAGGCCAGCTTAGGAGTACCCTAATTAAGTTAATAACAATGTACCTACCTATATAGTTTAAGTTTAAAAAATTTGGCTCTCAAAAGAAATTTCAATCGTTATACTGTTGATATTTGGCTCTGTTGACTAATGAGTTTGCCGACCACTGGTTTACACAAAGGCTAGAGGGGGAAAAGCATTTAAGGTAAAAAGGTTTTGTCAGACTATTCTTTTTTAGAGAGAGGAATTAGGAAATGCATTAATGCTTGTGGAAAAGATAAAGACTTAATGAAAAAATGAACAGAGGAAAATAAAATCAAGTTTTGCATTTTGAATATAATCATTAAGTATACCCCTAAAAATGTCTGTTATTCATAGAAATATAAATTTATTTTTGTAAATAGGACCAGTCTGCCTTTTCTTTCAACTATATTCCATGGCTTTGTATAATAAGTGTATGTGTGTGTGTGTGTGTGTGTATATATATATCTTTATTCTTATGACTTCACGGAATTCCATTGCATGAGCAGAATTTACTTAACTACTTATTGCTTCATAGGCATTTAATTTGCATTCAATTTTTCAGTATTATAAATGGCAAATTTTAACAGATTTTGCCCAAATAACTTAGCCTCTATGAATATTAATATTTATTTCAAATATTTTAAAATCAGTTATACCATTTTATAAGTGGAAAAACGTATTAGCAAGGTGGGAGTATTTTTATTTCCTGAGAAGTCCTATCTTTTCCTACTCCATTCATATCTTTAGAGTACTGTAGATAGATGACTTAAATCCTGTTCCTCTTTTCTGTTTAGCACTTTATATACAGAAGTGCCCCAAGACAAAGTTGTGAACTATACATTTTGGAAGCAGGTACAATGAGTCTTCCCTACATTGGTTTTACTGTTTTTCACCTGATTCCCTTTGCACGTGCCCCTTGTTTTCCCTTGTGTATGCCAGGCCTTCCATGGTGGCTTCTGGCTGGATCCCCTCTTGGAGCAGGTCTTGTTCTCTCATTGCTCTTTTTCTCTGGCCCCTGTTTTAAAAGGGTGTCCCAAAATTCACGCAAGAAGTAATTTTGATAGAAAACACAGGTTTATAATTAAAAATTGTAAATTTTTATTGATTCATAAAGTATACAGTATAGGGTTATGTATGGAATAGCATATCGGGTAAACTGGATTATCATGTCGCGATAGCGAGCACCATTAACTGTTATTGCCTGAGCATCCGCATTTTCGAAGATACCTCCAGCCCATTTCCAATGATACCTCCAGCCCAAAATCCACACCAAACAGTGAAATGTTGTGGATGCATTTGTTTCTAAACAATCACTCGTGGATTTTCTGAACCCCAAATGCGACAATTTTGTTGATTAACCAAGCCATCAATATGAAAATGAGCCTCATCGAAATTCAGCCACATTTATGCAAAACAGTCATGGAAAATTTCAACAAAGTGTGTGTATGTGCCAGCAAAGCTGTGGAGGCCATTTACCCGATATGCTATTCCATACATAACCCTATACTGTATACTTTATGAATCAATAAAAAATTTACAATTTTTAATTATAAACCTGTGTTTTCTATCAAAATTACTTCTTGCGTGAATTTTGGGACACCCTTTATGAGTGAAGATGCTGTCCAATGTTCTACTATTCATTTAGTGCCTTGAGAGGTGATCACTCTGGCTAATCAGATATACTAACTGGTACTATGTTATTAGAGAACAGATAACATTTTATTTTTGTTACTCCTCACCCAAGGATATTTTTTCCCCATTAATTTTCAGAGCGATTGGAAGGCAGGGAAGGAGGAGAGAGAAATATCAATGTGAGAGAGACACAGAGATTGCTGCCTCCCACACATGCCCTGACTGAGCAGGGGATCAGCCAGGGCGAGAACAGGTAATATCCCATAGATCTCACTTTGTGTATTAACGAGTTCCTATAGATGACTGCATTTAGCTGAAGTGGTAGCCCAAAAGAAATCCATCAGCCATCTAAGCACTGGCAAGCACTTCCTGAGACAATGTTACTTGTTCTTGTCCTAGCTTATACAATAGTTTATTTCTCTCAGGTGAAAGAGAGTACAGTGACATTGTCTTAGTTCATGGCTTCCATCTTCAAGGTCACCTGGTACTCAAACATGCATGCTTGAATTCCAGCCATTATGTCCACATTCCAGAAAGCAGAAAAGAGGAAGCCTCTTCAGAGAGCTTTCCTAGAATATTCCACTCATATCTCATTGGCCTGATTTAGCCATGCGGCCAGCTGTCCTCTTTAAGGCAGGAATATTGCTGTTCCTCACAAAATGGAGAACCGGTACTAAGGGAGATGGAAGAATAGACAATGGGTAGGGAAGTAGCAGCTTCTCCCAGCCTGACCTATGTCTGACCTGGTGAGATGCTGGAATATACCTTATCAAAAGTACATCCTAGTTCTCAGAGATTACATATACATTTATCCTTCCTATCCATGGTGAGCAAAGAGGGATAAAGAAGATAGTTTGGCAAAAGAGATTACCCTTCTTAAGACTGTTTAACCTGGGGTAGGTGGTGTATTCTCAGTGGTGAGGTAGATAAATCACTGTCTAAGTGGGCCTTTGCCCAGGTATCCAGAGATTATGGCTGTCCTCTGTTTCCTTATTTAAACCAAGGTTTTACTCATGGATAGGAAATATGTGGCGTAAGTGTTATCTTCTCCTCCTCCTTTCCTCATGGTAGAGTTTTTCCTTGTTAAGTTAAAACATGACCTTAGAATCCTTCTCAATACAATGTTCTTAGCAGTTACTTTGGTCCAAAAGATTTGTCATTGGTGTTTAAATCTACTAGCCATCTTTAAATGCTTGTGGGGATTTTCAATCTGATAGTCTCTGCGTACAATTCTTTAATTTATGGGATAAAACTCTTATAGGTGAAAAAGGTATATATTTATAGATATCAGGCTTGGCATTCTTCTGAATTTAGCACTAAATGACTATAATCACTCACTTTACTGTCCATATTCTCAATCTGTTCTTTTGACTATTTATTGCACTATGAGTTTCTCGCAGCGGTTCTCAACCTTTGGGTCGCGAACAATGAAAATACATCCTGCATACTGGATATTTACATTACGATTCATAACACTAGCAAAATTACAGTTATGAAGTAGCAACGAAAATAATTCTATGGTTGGGGGTCACCACAACATGAGGAACTGTATTAAAGGGTCGCAGCATTAGGAAGGTTGAGAACCACTGCTAGGGCAAGACTATATCTTACCCATTGTTGTGTACCCAAGGTGTCTGGCTCAGCACACTTTCAAATGTTTTATCAATAAATAAACATTGGCCCTAACCGGTTTGGCTCAGTGGATAGAGAGAGCGTCGGCCTGCGGCTGAAGGGTCCCAGGTTCGATTCTGGTCAAGGGCATGTACCTTGGTTGCGGGCACATCCCCAGTAGGGGATGTGCAGGAGGCAGCTGATCGATGTTTCTCTCTCATCGATGTTTCTAACTCTCTATCCCTCTCACTTCCTCTCTGTAAAAAAATCAATGAAATATATTAAAAAAAATAAACATTGGTCAAGGTCAAGTGTCTATCAAAGTAAATACTTTCCCATTATGTAAGCTGGTTACATTGTGAACTGCTTACCATTGAATAGGAAAGGGAGGCCTTATTTGAGGAGGTCATTGGTTGACAAGAGCATTGGTAATACAACAAAGGGTCTTGGTTATTTCACAACTGCTTTATAAACGTTTGAGTAACTGACATAGCAAACTGCCTACCAGGTAACAAGGAAAGGGCAGATATACTTTGAACAGGTTTTTTTCTTTGTTCTTGAGACTAGGCCCTTTTTCATTCATTTGACCAAAGGTCCAGGTCCTGGGTTAATGTGACTCAGTGTTTTCTGTATTCTAGGAGGTGATTCTGAGAGTTGTGCAAATGTCCAATTCATATTTCATGGATATGTGTATAGCTGAAGTAAGACCATACTTATGCTCTACCTAATTTAATTAAGGTGGCCTATACTCACCGATTTGTTTTTATAAGATCTTATAAACATTTAAGTTAATACTTATATCATTTGTTTTAAATATTTTGGCTCCATTAAAAATTTTGTTGGAGCCGGAACTGGTTTGGCTCAGTGGATAGAGCATCGGCCTGCGGACTGAAAGGTCCCAGGTTCGATTCCGGTCAAGGGCATGTACCTGGGTTGCGAGCACATCCCCAGTGGGAGATGTGCAGGAGGCAGCTGATCGGTGTTTCTCTCTCATCGATGTTTCTAACTCTCTATCTCTCTCCCTTCCTCTCTGTAAAAAATCAATAAAATATATTAAAAAAAAAAAAGAATTTTGTTGGAAAAAAAAAAGCTACTACTGCTAAAAAATGTGAAGAGCATTAACTTAACTAGCTCATCCAAGTCCCATATCCACTTCTTTATAATGACCAAATTCTTAAACTCTGGTAACAAAGAAAGATGAAGGAAAAGAATTATGTCATGATTCTTTCAGCTCAAAGAGCTGGGTTGGCTCTGATTAGATCCAATCCAGGCTGATGGTTTCTAAGAAAGCTAAATGTTTTTAGGAGAGAGCCTTGGGTTGTAAGCAGTCATCTTCCCTTCCCTCTCCAGTCCCAATCCTGGGTTATATCCATCCTATTGAGGTAGTGTCCCTACATTTAGATTTCTAAGTGATACAATGTCAGAGATGGTGTGACTAAATTTCTGCATAATGCTTCTCCTCGTTGACCCACTACTTACTCTGGTCAGAAGGGCTGGGGCCCACAGAAATAACAAGGCTCCATTCTCTCTTCTCCAAGTCTAGAACTAGCCCTAAGCGATCACTTGCAACTTCAGTCAGCAAGAGTATAGAAAAGAGGAGAGAAGCAGCACTAGAGTCTCCTTTCCACTCAAAACTTCTGCAGCTTTCTTCTCTCATTATTCTAATCTATCCTTGCCCCTGTCCTGTACAATGATACTTAGAGGTGGGGGCAGGAGGTTCAGCTGGATGCAACTAAGAGGAGACCTTAAGGACTTTGTAATCAGAACCCCCCAGTTAGGCCATTTCTCAGTAGTCTCACTTTAGACAGATTTAATTATTGGAACTAAAGTGTCTTTATTTGTAAAATGGGAGATAATAGCATAGGCTTAGATGTAAAAAATACTTAGCACCCAGCTGGTGTGGCTCAGTGGTTGAGTGTCGACCTATGAACCAGGAGGTCACCGTTGATTCCTGGTCACAGCACATGCCTGGGTTGTGGGCTGGATTCCCAGTGTGGGGCGTGCAGAAGGTAGCAGGTCAATAATTTTCTCTCATCATTGATGTTTCTATCTCTCTTTCCCTCTCCCTTCTTCTCTGAAATCAATTAAAAATATATACATAAATACTTGGCACAATGCCTGTCTTTTAGCAGGTATTCTATACGAGACACCTTTCTTGAAGTGTCACTGTGCATCAAGCACAAGGCATCTCTGCTTGGAGGAGTTTGAAGAGTGAGTGTGTAAGGGTGTGGTGGTTGGCACTCACGTAAATCACTGGTAAGGCTTTAGCACTTATTTTTCCTCCCTAGGCCCACTGGCCAAAAGTCATATATCTGAAAAAGTCCAACAGGTACATTTCTAAGGGAAATACAGTGGGAATGTCAAAGAGTGGGTGGAGGTGCGGTGAGAACAGAAAAGTTCCTGCAGATCAGAGGGTGTCCCATCTTTTGGTTCGAGTCTGTGGCTACCCAAAACCCGCCCCCCCCAAGTCATGTCTTCCCTGCCTTCAAATGTTATTCCCACTTAACACTGCCCAGTGACCCTGCAGAAGAGAAACTTTGGGACATACATGCTGTCTGTCTCCTCAGTGCCATTTGATTCACCTTCTTAAGCCCTTCAAACCTTATCATTAATTGCAAATTTTATGATTAAATAAAAATTATCTGATGTGCCTAAGTGATTATGCCATAAACATATGGTTTAGTAATTGGGTGCTAATGGCACCCAAAATACAAAATATCCTGATTTTCAGCCATCTTATCCACATTGTAGCCCTGAAAATCTGTATGTGCACACTCACTGATTTGTAGTTACGTTCCAGTTCATCTTTCCTGGGAGGCAAGAGTGTCAGACTACCTTAATGAAGAGCCTTATTTTGTCTTGCTGCTATCTCCCCACCTCTTTTAGGCTACTCTTCAGAACTTCTTTTCTACACTTCCTTTGTCATCTTGTCAACATCAGCTCTTTGCTGCCATTTAATTTCCAAGGACATCCACCACTTATTCTGACTGACATTAATATTGTTGGATCATGGAGATTTAAAAAAAATATGGCCTAATAAATGTATAAACATTACCAAGAGTGGCAGAACAGGTAAAAATAAAAGGATGAATGTCAAGAATTAAGTGAATTAGTGTTTATAAAGCCTCTGGCAAGATGTATATTTACAGATGCTGATGCCACGTAAATATTAATTCCCGTACTTCTTTTGTTCCCATCACGTCATCTTTCTGGGCCTCATTTTCCTAATGTTAAAAATTAAGAGCATTGCACCAAGTTTCTTCGTGTTGAAAAATATTTTCCCCCCAGTCTCTCCACACTGAGTATTTGGAAGTGGGTAGAAAGGTTATTTTTGCCCCAGACAGGCCGGGGGTGGGGGGGGGTAGGGGGGTGGAGGGTCGGGTGGGGGTGGGGGCAGGTCCTCCTGCCAGGCGCTCACCTTACCTCACTTCGCGGCCACGATTCAGGCAGCGGCCAGCAGGCCTGAACGCAGGTAACAGGTGGCTGGTGTTACTTACCTGTCTCCACCTCTCATCCTCCTCCGTGGGGCACACAGTGCTGCGGCTGACTCCACACTGAAGTAACCCAGGGGCCACCAGCAAGTCCTCCCCAAAGCTCAAAGCAGAAGAGAGAAAAATCAAGGGCAGCTTCCTCTTAAAGGCTTTAAAAAAAAAGAAAACAAAAAAGGGCCCCCAACCCGTTCCCGAGAGTGGCCAGCGCAGCCTCATGCACCCCGGGCGCCACACCCGCCTTCCTCCTGGAGGGAGGAAAATGTGCCTCGGGACGCCGAGTCACCGCGGCCCCGACCGCACTCCGGGCCGGATCTGCTTCCAGGGCAGCGGGAAGGGGCGGCGCCAGGGCGGGGCGGGGCGGGCGCCGAGCCTCCTCCGGGCCGTACCGAGCGAGCCCACCTTCGCGTGCAGAGCCGAGGGCCGAACGCCCCCCTCCCCGTTGCCGCCTCCGCCGCGTCGCCCCCTCGCCGCCGCTCCCGCGGACTCGCGTCTCTGCCGCTTGAACCGGAACCTCTTGCGGAGGCCGCCGCCGGGACCGGGCGCCGAGCGGGAAGCGCGGGGAGGCGGCCTGCGCGGCGCCCGCCATGGCCGCGGCGGGGTGAGGCCGGCGCGGCGGCTGCAGTCGCGCAGTCGGGTGCTCCTCGGCCGCGGACGAGCCAGGGCGGCGCGGAGGCCAAGGGAGCCGCCCGCCGCCGCTGGTCGCCACCGCCGCCCCACCCGCCGCCCATGGCGAGGCCCCGCCGCCGCTGCTGACCGCGCTTCCGTCCGTCCCTGGTGGCGGGCGGGCCTCCGCTCTGCGTCCGGCCCCGGGAGCCCGGCGAGCGCCGCAGGCTCCGGGCCGCCGACGATGGGGAACACTACCTCGTGCTGCGTGTCGTCCAGCCCCAAGCTCCGGAGGAATGCGCACTCCCGGCTGGAGTCCTACCGGCCCGACGCGGACCTGAGCCGCGAGGACACGGGCTGCAACTTGCAGCACATCAGCGACCGGGAGAACATCGACGGTGAGCGCGGCCCGGCGGGGACCTGCACCCTCCCGCGGGCGGGCTGCCTGGCCCTGAGCGGCTGCGGACCCGGCTCGGGTACCGCGGGCGGGGCCCGGCCAGGTGGCAGGAGCCGGCCCTGGCCACCAGCGGGCTCGGGTCCCGCGGGCGGGGGCGGTCTGGTGTGGGCCACAACCAAGCTGTTCACTTTTTAAAAAGGTGAAGGGAGTGGACACGTTTGGCAAAACTGAGGATTGACTACCCTTTTGGGATTCGTCTCTGCCTAGAATTGGAGAACAGGGTTGGCCTGTGTCAGCTCCCAGAAAACTTACTACATAATTGACTCCGCTTGGCTGTCCCCCCACCAGCATTTCCTTTAAAAATTAAAAACAAAACCAAGGGGCCCCCTTCTATCCCCTCTCCCCCCGAGGCGGTTGAGGGATTGTTTAAAAAATTTTTTAAATGTTTAAAATGTTTAAAAAAATGTTTTAAATGTTAAAAAAAATTTTTTTAGAGTATTGTTAGAAAGTTTTGTATTAAGTTGTCCGTTTTTGCTTGGGGCCAAATTACAGTTCTATGAATTCCTGATTGATCTGAGTGACTTTTGGTCTGGACTAGTTTTTGTAAAGGAAGTTAAAAAACTGATCACTGTACCTAGTAAAGTTTATTTTACTGTTGTTTTTATAATATCTTCATTAGTACGATTTTATCAATAAGCTACATGGCTTAATATCTACAGATGGGCAGTTTATGCATCGTACTTAGAGTTTACATAATTTTAAACTTTAAGAAATTTGAAATATATTTTTATGACAACTTGATTTTTCTTTTTTTAACCCAAAATTCTCACAGTTGATGTGGTTGAAGTAATCTGGAAAAATTTCTTGTATGAATGAATTGATACAACTTTGCCATAGTCAATTCTTGTCAACTTCAGGATGGAGTATTTCCTCTAGTGTGGAAAGCCAAATTTAAACTCCATTAAAAGAATGTTTGGCCTTTTAAAATTTCTTCTAAGTAGTGATTTAATTTCCTTAGGACAGCAACTGTATTAAATGAGTACCACATATAAAGAGACCAATGCAACATATTGTTTATAATAGGTGCTCATTAAATTAGAAGTTCCAGATGACATTTCTAGTGTTATTATTTTAGACTTCCATTATCTTAACCTACTCTTTAGATTTTTTGAACTACATGAATACTTTATTTTTAAATTTATGCATTTAAAGGCATCTAAAGGATGTTAAAAGGTATGTCTTGATCACTGTTATAGTCACAAGCACCTGAAAGAAGTGTCTAGCATATGAGAAAGTTAATAAGTATTGCATTTTAAAGAAATGAGTGAGTGAATGAGTTTAAAAAAGAAAGCCATTACCCAGTCCTATACTGTGTTGACAGGCAAAAACATTTTTATCTATTTATTTATTTAATATATATATATTTATTGTGTAAAGTTTTACATTTGTCTTTTTCCCTGATTGACACCCCCCCCCCCCCACTGCGATTCCCACTCCCAAGGGCTAGCCCCCATCGCCCCAGTTATGCTAATATGACAGGCAAAACATTTGTCAATAATTTCTCCTTTATGCTGTGAACTAATATCGGGTAGAGAATTTATGTTTTATTTATTATTTTAAAAATATTTTTATTGATTTTTAGAGAGAGGGAGGGGAGGGAGAAAGACATCTATGTTATAGGGTAACGTGGATCTGCTGCCTCCTGCAAACCCCCTACTGGGGATGGAACCCTCAAGCCTGGTTTGTGCCCTGATGGGGAATTGGAACCAGCAATTTTTTGGTGCATGGGATGACCCATGCACCAGGGTGAGGCTTTATGTTTTAAATAATGGGTTAAAAATACAAACAGAAGGAAGATTCACATTTCTTAGAGCCAGGCTGTATACTGTTACTGACTATAGTAGGGAAACACACACACACACACACACACAAATTGTAACCAGCTATTTGGCAATAAGGCTTAGGAGGATTTTGCCCCAGAAAAATAGAATAGTATTGTGTGTTCTTTCACATGAAAGAAATCTAAATTTGGTCATCACTCTCTTTTAAGAAAACATTTGGAAGACCACCAATTCTTGTTTTGTAGGTTCAGGATAGTTTAAGAGACTAGGTCAGGTTAAGAGGATTTCTAATTTAGGCTGTGGTTCATACCATGATACTGCTTTAAACCCAGAAATATTTAAACAGTATTTTCTTTGTTTCCCAAGTTCATGCAATACTTGTGGGATTTACCTACCCAGCAGTTGTCAGCATTGGTTTCAATTAGCTCAGAAATGTAGGACTGGGCCTTTGATCATGGTTAAAACTCCTGAGGTAATTCTAAGATGCATCCAGGGTTAAGAATTGCTGCTGTTGTTCAGGAGCATTTTCCATAGAAATTCATTCTGTGTTAGAGGCTGGACAAGAGAACAGATTTAAGTTAAATAGGATATGTGTGTACATATATTAATGTATATACTTATATATGTATATGTAGTGTGTGTGTGTATATATATGTGTGTGGGTGCGTGCAGTAGTATTGTTAGATGATTAGTAAACAGTTTATTTTTTTAATATATATTTTTATTGATTGCAGAGAGAAAGGAAGAGAGAGAGAAAGATAGAAATATCAATGATGAGAGAGAATTATTGATCGGTTGCTTCCTGCAAGCCCCCCAGTGGGGATCGAGCCTGCAACCCAGGCATGTACCCTTGACTGGAATCGAACCTGGGACCTTTCAGTTCGCAGGCCTATGCTCTATCCACTGAGCCAGTGGTCGGCAAACTGCGGCTCTGCAAACCATGGCTCGCGAGCCACATTCGGCTCTTTGGCCCCTTGAGTGTGGCTCTTCCACAAAATACCGACTCTTCCACAAAATACCGACTTCTGCGCATGGGCCATGAAGTTTCAATCACACTGTACTTTCGCGCCTGCACATGGTATTTTGTGGAAGAGCCACACTCAAGGGGCCAAAGAGCCGCGATTTGCTGACCACGGCACTGAGCCAAACCAGCTAGGGCGATTAGTAAACATTTTAAAACTATATCAATTCTTAATTAAATTTATCAGGGTAACATCCTATATAATAAAAGAGAAACATGCAAATTAACCATCACTCACTACACACCAGCCAATCAGCAACTATGCAAATTAACCCAACAGAGATGGCGGTTAATTTGCATACGCAGGCGTGGAGTGAAGACTGAAGATGACTGCGGAGCTGGAGCGAGCAGGAGGCTTGGGTTGCTCCTGGCAATGGAGGAAGCCAAGCTTCCCGCTGGCCCTGGACTCTGCTCATGGAGTGGCTGAGGGCCTGGGTCACCAGGGGCAACCCAGACTTCCAGCCCGCCCTGGGTTCCGCTCAAGGAGGTGGAAAAAAAAAAGGAGGGGCTGGGAGCAGCCAGAGCCGAGAAACTAAGCTTGCTGCTGCGGCCGCAGCGGGGAAGCCAAGCCTCGCTGCTGCAGCTGGACCAAAGGCCTGGGTCCCGGGTGCCAGAGAAAAACCGGTGCCGGCAGCCAGGGGAAGGAAGGCCTATTGTGCAAATCTTCGTGCAATGGGCCACTAGTTGGTTAATAAAATTATGTAGGTTACATTTCAATTCTTTATTCTAGTACAGTACATAACAAGTAGAGCATATAACAAAAGCTGAGGTGCTCAAGTACCATCATTCTTTTTTTTTAAATATATTTTTATTGATTTCAGAGAGGAAGAGAGAGGGAGAGAGAGAGATAGAACCATCACTGATGAGAGAGAATCATTGATTGGCTGCATCCTGTACACCCCTCACTGGGGATCGAGCTGGCAACCCCAGGCATGTGCCCTGACTGGGAATTGAACCGTGACCTCCTGGTTCATAGGTCAGTGCTCAACCACTGAGCCATGCTGACTGGGTGCCATCACTCTTGTATACGAAAGATGTTCCAGACAGCTAGAATGGAAAGCTTCAAAGAAGTTCATGAGGTTTCTGTGATAGTTTTGTTTCTTTAAAACACAGATAAATGAGCTAATGTACCCATGTTTTCCCTGTTCAAACACACAATGGTTAATATTTGTCCCATAGGATTTCAGTGACTGAGTTAAGGCTGTTAGGTTTTTGTGAGACCTACCTGCAGCTTACCCTGTCTTTGTACTTAGTGTACATTAGTGTTAGATTATTTGTTTTTAGAATTTATATTAGACTTATTAGCTCCTTAGGTATTTTCTATATATATTAAAGGCTACGTGACCATCTCTCTGGCCTGTAGCTATGACATACATTGACCACCAGGGGGCAGACACTCAACGGAGGAGCTGCCATGACACGCACTGGCCATTTAAAAATAAATGGCACCATGATCTGGCACCGACAAACCAACACGTGA